ATAGCATCCTACGTGAAAGGTATACATATATTGATATCAAATTTAAACCATATAATCACATATAAACAAGATATAAAAGAAAATGTAATATGAGTAAAACAAAATACATACCTTTTAAGAACGAAAATAATGCGCATACCTTTTAAGAACGAAAATAATGCGCATGTATCTGCCCGAATTGCAAATTGAAAAGAAACATCTCAATCATTGTCTATTAATTCTATTTTGTAATAGATTTGAAATTTAACACAACAATAACAAAAAACGAAGCGACAATAGTAGAGTTTTTATCTTACACAACTATGAAGAACATATTGACCTCATTCTTCCCGAACTTTATTTACTTACTCCTCAAATAATTGAAAGCACTTGTAACAAAGAAAGTACAATAAAGTATAACATTATTAATTACAGTTTAACTAGAATACCAAAAAATAAGTGGGTAATATAACATTATGAATTACAGTTTAACTAGAATACCAAAAAATAAGTGGATAATGACGAAAAAATGAGCTTAAATTCACTTACTTCATCTGGATTATCATTTCATCACAAATTATTATGTCTTTAATAAATTTCAAAACGTAATACCCACATTACGCATTGTTAGCTTGTTGCGGACACTAAAAGAATCAAATATTTGTTACATATATAGATCAACACCTACCATACCACACATAACATCTTGAAGTACCTTAACTTTTTTCCATTTGAAGTTTTTTGATTTATTTTTGGATACCATCATCATGACTTGAACCCGAAAAACTCGTAATACTCATAAAAATAAAAATATCATGGAGTTACTTGAAAACATGGGCGAAACCAGAAAATTAGTTGAGAGGGAGCAAAAGACATGACATAATGAATTCAGAACCGATACCAAACCGATTATATTTCGGTAACCGATTTTTGGTAACCGTTACACATAAGTCGGTTTGGTTCGTTTTATTTTCTCATTCGTTCGGTTCGATTTTCAGTTTTTGGTAAAAAAAATATCAGGCTAGTAAAAGAGAGTTGAAGTCTTTTATATGGGCCAATTAAAATTGTAGAATGATAATAATTAATATACAAACTTAATAGTAAAATAAAAGAAATGTTGAATTGTTAATAGACAATTGTGGACAAGTTGGTTTGTGAGTGACGTTAAAAACAAAGTTCATGTTTGTTTATAGAAAGTTTTTATTTTGTTTGGATTTTTGGTTTGGTTTGGTTTGGTTAATTGAAAATAGTGGTATTCTTAGTTGTTAATGGATATTAAAATAATATTTTAAATAAAATAATTAAAATTAATTTGATGTAAAAGTAAGAGAGATATGATGTGACGTGATGGTTAGTTAAAATAATGTAAGTGGATGAATAGTGAATTAAGGTTGATGTGGTGTGTATGAATGATTGATTGATATTATTTAATTATATTGATAATATTGATTGTAGTGGGGTTGAGTTAAAGTTAAGTTAAAAAAAAGTGGTTGAGTTAAAATGTTGAAATTTTTTTAAAAATTTCTATAAACAACCATGCTCAATCTGGGGGTGCAAAAATAAATTCAGAGGGGGGGGGAAGCAAATTAAAAATTTTAATATTAATAGTAAAAAAAAAATTGAGGGGGGGCAATTGACCCCTATCACAACATGTAGTTTCGCCCATGCTTGAAAATCAACAAAAAGCAAATACAGCGTAACAACCATATATTGTTCGTGTTAAACGCCATATATTGATCAATATCTTTGAGCATAGGATCTAAATAGTATATAGTCTCTACCTTCAAATTAATAGCTAACAACACCCAATGGATCTTATAAAAGAAATGTAAACATTTGATACTAGTTTTAGCATTAACTTTGAATAAACAAATTATTCCCCAGCTCCTACACAAAACAAATTATTTTTAAAAACTTTTCGTGAACACTGATGACCATATCAATCTTCCAACAAATATATAAATTAATGTATTGCAGGATTGGTGTAATTGATAAGCCATTCAATGTAAATGAACAAACACACTGCATAACTTAAAGAAATGAACTCTTCAAAATGATTGTAGAATGTAGTATATATTTAGCATCCATATGAGTTGAAAAGTAACAACATATGTTGTAGCTGAGTGTGGCCAGGTTTATCCGATGTCCGTACAACACCCCCATTGCCTGGTTCATTTGACCGCCCTAGTAATGAATTTAAATCTAAAGTTAATATATACACCATATTCCTGAAAATATGCGTATTATGCAAGATACAAGCAAAAATCACTAACTTAAAGTCTAAGATAAACTCAATTAGTTTTTTGTCTTCTATTTTCTAAGCCTGTGGACAAAATCGACTGCTGCCGCATTTGACATTTCAAAATTTTACGAGCAAACTATCTCACACATGCACAAAAAACTCAGCTTGATAAAAGATATTGGAAGGAGTGAAAGTATAGGATAAAACGCGAAGAATGTTAAATGCAGAACTCAAGACATGAGCCTAAAAAAGTAATCAACTATTTATTTTCTTAATTTATTACTAAATCTATCCACCTGCAAATCTTTGCAGCAGCAAAGAATTCTAATTTATTCCAGAATGCCTATAAATAATTAGAGTGAAAGCATGTTAGAAGAAATAACATGTTGTCTTGTACTCTTGTTATTCATTGATCTGAAGCTCAATACATATCTAATATTCCCAAAGTTACAACCTATTTGATATTGCTCTGGAAACTTCAATCATAACATAGGAAACATTTTACAATAGAGCACAGGTTTAAATAAGTATCTAAAACCAAAAGAACTTGCTTGAGAACATAACTAAGAATCAAAGAGTTAGTATGCGTGGAGAGCTAGAGGACGGAGTTATAGGCGAGATAAGATGCGCTTAACAAGTGATACTATTTGGTACATAGGAAATGTTCTGATATCACTCAATAAAGTGATTGTCAGCTTCCAGTTTAATGCACGGTTTAATCAAAACCATAAAATTATCAGGACAGTGCTTCATATTTGTAATTTTGGCTTCGGTTTGACTTTAACAAAATAATAACAACTTCAATTCGACTTTTAGCTTCTATGTGCACTTCCTACCAACTTATATTTTTCAATAACAGCCTCTAACTACAATAAATAACATTAGAGAGGCATAATGTCATTTGATCAAACACCTTGTCTGCAATAATAGATATTACAATTTGTAACTTCTAACTAACTCAAATCTCAGCAACCGCCATATTGAGTAAAGAAGTGAAAGAGTGAGACGATATTAATAAGATTGCAATCTCAAGAACACCTAAACACGATATCAATTCATATAAGACTAACTTATTCTTCATGCTACTTAGGCTATGTTTGGTAAATCAATAAACTAGCTTATAGCTTATTTGATTAGCTTATAAGCTTCCTGTATTTAAATAAGATAGAACAGTGATATTTTGATAAAATCGTGAACTATTAAATGTCAAATGATGGCACTTTTGTAATATCGTAAAAAAAAATTATATGTAATTTGCATTTCCTTTTTTCCGAAACGATAGACAATCTCATAAAATGACAAGCAAAAACTGAGTTTGAATACAGATACAAACACCAAAATAAAACACTAAATCTAAATCCAAAGGCCTAAGCCAAAGAGATCCGTAACAAATAAGATACGGTCTAAATGAAACCCAACACAATCCAAGAACTAAAGGGCAGTAGCAGTGCTCTGAACCCCTCCAGCCATCCATACAATTCAACCAAACAGACAACAAACGAAGATCAATGAAACAAGAAAGACAACCCTAGCCACTGTACTGATAAAACAAGATACTGTAATTTGCATTTCACTTTGTTATTGTTGTGCATCCCTTGCATATATTATTCCTCATATATTTTTCTTGAATATCTTAGGAAGGGCCACCCACCTTCTTTTTGTCAGTATTTATACCTGCCATATTCCATCAATCTATCCAAGGTGACAAAAAGGAAGAATAAATCAGCCAAGAAAAACAAACAAATAAATAATAACACTTGAATCGCCTTTGTTTTCCCAATGAGATATAAATGTTATAAAAATATGTATTTTATAATACTGAAAATAAAATATATTCATAATAGTATTTATCATGCTTTTAAAATGTAACTTTATTAAATTAGGCAATTTTATTAAGAGAATGTGTAGAGGAAGCAACTTGACAGACATCTTTGGGTAAAAATGTAGCAGGAAATTTGTAGATCGCTTTCTAACTTGTCTTAGGCAAACTTGTGTGATTAAAATTGTGAAGACATTTCTCAAATTTTCAAAATATAAATAATGCTTATTTTTTAAAATTATAATTAAGGTAACATAAGAAAAATATTTGAATATATAAATGTCATTTGAAGTAATTATAGTATAACATACAAAACACTTTTAATAACATCTAACTCGTGAAAAGAGCTAATACGAGAGCATCTCCAATGTGAGATGTTGACTTAATAAAATGTTAGCCACATCATCAAGTTATAAAGTGAAAACAAAAATTAATCTCCAATCCATAATGTTATGGACTCTTTTATGCTGACATGGAGACAATAAACATCCAAAGTGTGAAGCTCACTTTCTAGTTTTCCAAAGAGTGTTTGAAAGTCAATCATAAAAAATCTAACCTATTTTAAGCTTTTGAAATGGATGCATTGGAGATGTGCATTCCAAGTTAAAGTCTTCTCTTTTGACATTCATATTACATGGATTTACATTCCATTCATCATTTGACATGTGTTCAAATTTAATTAATGTTCAAAGTGGAGCATTGGAGATGCTCTTAGTTAATTACATAGAGTTAACGGTCAATTGNAAAAAAAAAAAAAAAAAATATATAAAAATAACAAAATCCAAAATTCTGCCTCTTTATCTTTTCTAGTCTTTCCTTTATCTTTTCTAGTCTTTGAATTCCCCCACACAATATTCGCACAACTCATCTTTCGAGACAAAAAAAGCACCATTCTTCTCCCTTATATTCCATTCCTTTGTTTTGTTCCCTTACCCCTCTTAAATTCTTCCTCATCACCAAATGATAAAGAAGACAATCATGGCTAAAAACCCTCAAGACTCCATCTCCTTCTCCAGAAGGTTTCTCAACCGGAAGAACAAACCCGGCGACGACCCAGACGGCAAAACAGAGCAAAAAATCCCCGAAAAAGGAAAAACATCAAAATCGGGGCAGATCGTGAAGCTGGAAAAGCAATCCTCAAAGGCGAAAGTCCCAAGGAAGAAGATATTCGCTCCGGCTGCGGTGACCAAGCTGCTGGGAAGGGTTAGGGATCGGGCCCGAAACCAGTCCTCTTCGGGCCTGGTCGTCGGGACCCTGTTCGGGCCGCGGCGCGGGCCCGTCCACTTGGCGATCCAGGCGAGTTTCAATCTGAGGCCGAGCTTTCTGGTGGAGCTGGCGACGCCGACGAGCGTGCTGGTGAAGGAGATGGCGTCCGGGCTGGTGAGAATCGCTCTGGAGTGCGAGCGGCGGCCCGAAAAGAAGGGCCCGAGGCTGGAGGAAGAGCCCGTGTGGAGAACCTACTGTAATGGGAAGAAGTGCGGGTTTGCCATGAAAAGGGAGTGGGGGCCCGAAGAGAGGAAGGTTCTGGACGCGATTGGGCCTATATCAATGGGGGCTGGGGTTTTGCCTGGGGAGATTATGTATATGAGGGCCAAATTCGAGAGGGTTGTGGGATCAAGGGATAGTGAGGCTTTCTATATGATGAATCCAGATGGAAATGCAGGGCCTGAATTGAGCTTTTACTTGCTCCGGCTTTAGTTGCCTTGTTTGAAATTTTGTGCGAGTAGGATGGGTTGGAGGTTTAATTGTAGAAGATGATACTATGTTATAGCCTAATAGGGAATCAATGCTTGGTGCTTAATTGGCGGTATATCTTTTCGTAATTTGTGAATAGTTTACTTTCATTTTGCTCTTGCTGCAGATGGCTATGTGTTTTGAGTTTTGCTTTGTTTCAATTCATCTTCTTTGGAACTAGTTGCAACATCATGATTTCGGATTCAATGTGAAAATAGTAAAAATAGCGTCCCGAATACTTTTTATATTATTGTCAACTCGATTTTCAGAATGGCGCAAACCGCAAACTTAAGCAAATTACTGCATAAGATTCTAATCTATGTGATATATGTATTTAATTAAGTCTAGTAAGTAAATAATACTACCCTTTATTATCCTAGAAATTTACCTTAATTGCATTCATCATGTACCCAAACACAACTCATATTTTATTTTTATCCTCAAAGACAGATGAATAGAATCAATCATTTGAACAAATGATAAATTCAACAGCATCTCATTGAGGTAATCATAATTGAGTGATTTTATATTGCTTAAAATCAAGCTCAATCAACCACATAAGGATAATGATGATTTCTTATTATTTTTTGCTTAAACAAGTAGTCATGTGATCGAGACGGCTGCAAAAACATGATTAACTAAGCTAATGACTCAAGAAAAGAACAAAAAAAACTAGACAACAAAAGTAGCATAGCATTTGCATATGATTAGGAATGAAATGATTAAGGCAGCGCAGCCTCAATCATATAAAAGGCTAAAAAGAAATACAACTTGATTTTTCACAACATTAGCATATGAGGTTTCATAAATGATTTGTTCGATGTTCTTTCCCGTTTATTGTGGGTGCTTTTCAATTTATTTATTTTTTATTTTTCTCTGCTGTTAATTCAAAATAAGAATCATCTCATACACTAAATAAGTAAATATTCATCGTGTATGATATTCATATATATATGTTACACATCAACTAATGACATATTAATAATTCGTACTCAGTGTTGACACGACACGGGGATATTCTTATATTCATTTAAGACATTAAAATAATTATGTTGGATTTTTCAATTGTATAAGCGGTATTAAATTGATGAAAATAAAATAAAATAAATGTGCCGAAAAAATAAAGATATAAATTAAGTAAAAAACTGAGGAAAATCATCCTTGATAACCGGAAATAGTCTGAAACTTTCTCATCTAAATGAAAAAAAAGTCATTGTTTTTCTCTTGTTTGATGGACTAATCAAAGATGGATAATTCTATTCATAGGCAAAATTATAGAGAGAATAAGAAAAATTGATATAGAAGTGGGCCTCTTGTGTTTTATTAAAGCACGCGGATCTTAACGACAGGCTGAAAGTAGAGAAAATCCTCGTTTGTCGACTAATAAATCAAAAGCAAATGATTTATGTAATTATCAAATAAAATGATGCTTCGTAGACTTTTTTTTTTTTTTCAAACGGCAAACAAATATATTGCTAGAAAACTCAAAAAGAGTACATGGGCGATGTCAACTGACACCAAAGAACCAGATAACTGGACTTACCCTCTTGAACATCCGGAGGAATTCAAGAGGTACAACTCCAACAAGGAGGCAACCGCAACCCAAAACGAAATTCCACAAAGGGAAACTAAACTCCATAAAGGAGATAAACCAGACAAACTGGACTAACACACAAAAACATAAACAAAAAACACACACCTAATGTACAAATAAACTAGAACCTCCCCTACACTAATCAACTCGATGCTTAACCACCAGGGACCGCACACGATCCACATCCACAAGCAAAGAGATCCAACAAAACCACAAATCGGAACCTCAAGCCCGAAAACTGCGGCTACTCGTGCCGCCTAGACGGATCTGAAGAAGAGACTGCTATCGGTTCAGATCTGGACTCCGAAAAACCATCCACGCTTGGAGAGGAGAAGAAGCCGCCGTGAGAACACCAACTCGTCCTCGCCGGAGTGCTCGAAAGAGGGATCGAACGGTCGGCACGCCGCACCAAAGGACCCAAAACATGAATAACAAAACTCTCGGCGAAACAATGGTCGGAACCTCCTCGAGGCTTGGGCCTGAAATCTTGCTGCCAGCGGTCTCGTCCATGGCCGGGGATGGCTAGGTGGAGAAGCAACTCGGACCCAGCGGGGGCGAGAGCTGTCCAACCCAATCTCCCACAAAGCCCGGAGGGGACGGAAATGTCCTCAGCCCCGAAACAACGAGCTTCTATTCCAGCGGTGCGGTGGCGAGCTTGTAAGTGTAGGAGGGGCGGCGAAAATTGGAGAAGACGACTGGTTTTTTTTTTGATTGAGGGGAGAAGAAGAGGGGCGCGTCCCCTGACGCGTGAGTTGTTGTGGTGTAAAACGAAAACACTTATATTCACACAGGTGGGTTTCAAATATAACTCCTACTAGTATTTTTTTTAAATGTAATTTTGATTTTACTAATAATTAACTAAATAAATAATGTTTTAGATATTTTGTAATATATATTTTTTCATTATTATCCTCATTTAGCTAATAAATAAACTAAGTCTTTTCATATTCACTTTTTATTTTTTCTCAAATATTGAAAAAAAAAAGATTTTTAATTATTATACAACTTCTCAAAACGATATTTGTTAAAATAAAGAGGGAGTATTAATTTTGAAAAGAGATTGAGAGATAAATCACGCAAATTTCACTAAAATTTCAAATTTATATGGCCCATATTGAATTTTGAGTGTCGAAAACAATTCATTTAACTTAAAAAGCAAATTGGTCGATTACTACTACACAAAAAGGTTGTAAGCAATAAAACTGAAGGCAGAGAGTGTGAAGCAGGAATTTGTAGGGTACAGCCAAGGCAAACATGTCCATTGGGATTCCAATTTTTTTTCAGTCAAGTCTTAATCTCATTTTTCACCAGTACATTAATATATTTTCTTTATTTTTTGCTCCTTTTCTTCTTTTTTGAAAACCCTTTTGAAGCTTTTGAGGCATCAAAATTTGAGAATTGCCGCTTTACACATCCGCCATACCCTACCCTTGTTCTCATCTTTTATGCTTTCCTATTTTTCATTAATTTCACGGGTGCCCAGAAGTCCAAGAACTGTATAAGAAAATCTATAAAGGCTAAAGGTTACAAAATTACATCTCAGGATTGAGCAAGGAAAGCTACCCTACATTATGATTTTTAGTTCTGCCGAATATAGAGATTTTGAAAATTTTTAGATAGTCCAACAGTTAGTCTGAGTCTGACTTGTGATACATTTGTAACAAAAACAATACTTATATTATAAATTTTCATACTTTTATTTATTTCTTTTTTTTAGAGTAATACATTTTAATTTAAAAAGTATAAATGTCTGTTAACAAAATATAATAGTTGTCTAATCCTCTGCCAATAGCCTAATAAAATACTTTATTTTAGATTTCCTATGACTGTTGGCAAACATATTGATTTTACAAGCACAATAGATACCATATCACATTTAAATAGCAGCCCCCAAAAGTCCAATACTAACTACTTTTTACGTACCTTACTGTATTATCTGTTTTTTATAATGATGAATTGATGATGCCGTTTTGTTTTTTCACTCGAGTTTAAAAGACAAAAGTAAAATATATACATACCGTGTCTTATCTTGTCTTGTCTGTATTAACCCAAGTTTCTAGTTAATTGAGGTATATAGTAAAAAGTTGACCTGTATTGGATTTAATGTTGGTTTGTAGTTGAGGTATATTATATCTGACCAAATCTTTTTATTTTAGTTGCAGTAATCCGTTCGACAAAGTTAAAAGACAAAAAAGATAAAAAAATAAAAATAAAAAAATAAAATTAGTTACTAGAAAACTTTCTTCAATAATTAGAAAACTATACATACTAGAATGAATGTATATATACTTTTGAATTTTTGTTACAATAGTTGACTATCTTCGACATCCATATTGAAAAATGCTAGTTATACGAAATAAAACTTTTTAATCTTGAACACATTTTCAATTAATCTGCATCAGAAGGCAGAATAAAACTAAAATATACAGAACTAACTGACTTTTTAGTTTTCACCAATATACATAACGGAGATTGATGCTGCCACATTAAGCTGCGCTTATAGTCGTGAATCGCGTTTTAAATGTTAGCATGATGTTGAAAGTTGATAACTTGTAGAACGGACTTGGCCCAATGGCCTTAGCATCAGAATCTAGTTTCAGCCCATTTCCCTCTTACATATAAGATAAAAGTATGAGGAGGTGTATGCTTGACACGTGTCAAATTTTTATGATGAAAATGCCCCCACATTGGTCCTTTTTTACACTTGACTCCATCGACGGAAAGGCGGACGCCACCATCTTCATCACCATCCGTTGTGTGGGCAGGAAGGGGCCCGCGTCCTCGAATCTCCCTGCAGCCCCCGTCGGTTGGGCTTGGACCTCGACACGTCGCCCAACGACCTCTCGGTCACTGATGCCTGTCGTGTCTCCAAGATCAACAGATCCGTGTAATTTCTTCCCTCCCTGCCTTATCAATAATCTAACTCTAACACTCAAATTTCCCTAATCAATACTCAAATTCCAGTCGGCCGGATTGCACCTATTCTCAAAACAGGTAAATACACTTGGAGCGTCGGTGCACCTATTATCATCTCAGCTGTTCTTTAATATCTCGCCATCGAGGTTATTTTTTTATTTTGAGTATTCAGAATTTGTCCTTCTAGCATTTTCAAGCATTCGTGTACGTAGCTTTCGATCAGAGTTTAGAGAAATGGTTGCCCCTCAATTTTGTCTGAACTTTGATAATTTTCCAGTGTGGCATTTTCCTGTCAAAGTTCCGTGAGACCAAATTCAGTGATGTATGTCGGCGGAAGAAACTTTTGGTGCTAGCTTCGCGTTAATTCGGCTATTTTTCTTTAGATTTGTGCTTCAAACATCGGCGCCACAGAACATATATTTTTTTGTTACTCTTTGTGGTTTTATGTTCTTGGCGATTTTTCAATTGGGCTCTATTTGTCGAATATTTCGATTTTTGTTGTTTTGTTTTATATTTAGTGTCAGTTTGTGTGTTTTGATGATATAATATATCTGGTCTAGAGTTTCTGATCTTGCATTTGAAGACTAACTTTGTAATCACTTTGATTCCTAAAATGCAAGATCCTACAAAAGTTGCTGACTTCAGACACATTAGTTTATGTTCTATGGTTTCAAATAGGATGAAACCTGTGCTGCATTTATGTATTTCCTCTGCTCAATCAGCTTTTGTTCCAGGTAGACAAATTCTAGATAATGTAGTTCTAGCCAATGAATGCATGCATTTTTTGAACAGTAAAAGAAAAGATAAAAAGAACTACATGGCTGTTAAACTTGATATGGCAAAAGCATATGACAGAGTTGAATGGGGCTTTATTGCTAGAATTTGCAAGCATATGGGATTTTATGACACGTTCATTTCCTGGATTCTAGCTTGTATTTGTTCTACTAGCTATTCTTTTAATATTAATGGTTCTTATCTTGGTTTTTTGCAACCCACCAGGGGTATTAGACAAGGTGATCCCTTGTCACCTTGTTTGTTCATTTTGGTCTATGAAGCCTTCTCTAACTTAATCAAGCAATCCTGCTTATCTGGTGAATTCATAGGCTTCAAGATTGGTAAATATTCTCCTTGTATATCTCATCTATTTTTTGCGGATGACTCTATCCTATTTTGTAAAGCAGATTTGAAGCATTCCTACTCTGTTTTGAATATGCTCTTTCAGTATGGAAATGACTATGGCCAATTGGTCAATTTTGACAAGTCATCTGTGATTTTTTCCAAGAACACTCAGGAAACTCTTTATAGCGACATTTGCAATGTGTTAACAGGTGTTTCTAGAGTCAATTCCTCTAAGTATCTGGGACTCCCATTAGGCATAGGGAGATCCAAAATTGAAACCTTTAAATTTGTTAGTGAGTGTGTTTACAATAAAATCAAAAATTGGAAAAATAATTTTCTTAGTGAGGCAGATAAAGAAATTTTGATTAGATCTGTGATCCAAGCCCTTCCCACCTATACCATGTCTTGTTTTAGACTTCCCTGGAGTATTGTGAAAACCATTTGTAGGGATATCTAAACAACTGTGGAGAATTTCTACTAATCCAAATCTTCTGGTGAGTAAAGTTCTGAGAGGCAGGTACTTTTGGAAATCCAACATCATGGATATCAATCCCAAAGCTTCTGATTCCTGGTTGTGGAAAAGTTGGCTGAGTGCCAGGAAATCATTGAAATTAGGAGCTAGGTATAAGGTAGGGGATCGGAAGTCTATTGCTATATGGGACTCCCCTTGGATCTCAAGGGCCCCACATTTTAAACCTACATGTCATTTTAGTGAGGATAGAAACAGGCCTTTGAAGGTCTGTGATCTATTTAGGGAGGGTGGAAGAAAATGGGACAGTGAGCTTATTGCCCAAACCTTTGGACCTGAGGATGCTTCTAAAATCCTCGGTCTACCTCTTTCAGAGCATAGCCGTTCAGACAGACTTGTGTGGCATTGGAGTCCCAAGGGACAATTTTCAGTTAAAGAGGTGTACAAAGCTATTCAAAGCTGCTCACAACAAGCAGGAGAGACCATCCACAAGTATGGACCCCAAAGCAGTCATCAAGATGTGGAAAACAACATAGCAGCTTCCAATAAAACCCAAAGTGAAGAACTTCCTTTGGAGATGTTGGTTTGAATACATGAGTACAAGTTCTCGACTGGTGAAGAAAGGAGGAGATGTTGATATTATCTGCTCTATTTGTGGGGAGGTTAGTGAAGATTTAAATCATATTCTGTTTAATTGTACTAGAGCACAAAAATGCTGGAAATTTTGTGAAGTGCTGTGGGAAGAAATGGAAGCAGGTGCTGTAAATTTTAAAACATGGTGGTTGAAGTTATGTAATGCTGAGAACTTGAGACTCAAGAAAGAAAGGTTAAGTGTATCAGCATTCTAATTGTGGCATGTATAGAAAGCTAGGAACAAATGGATGTTCAAAGGGGATTGGATTCATGAAAAGGAAATTTTAGAGGATGCTAAGCTGGAGTGGTCAGAGTGGATTGATAGGGCTGCTTCTAATCAGGTCAGATCATACCATCTTCATCATGATAGATTTTTCAGGGCAGTAGGACATTTAGTTATGAATGCCAGTGCTGCATTATCTGATGATGGTGGAATCAATGTGAGCTGCTTGATAGATACCAGAGATTCCTCATCCAACCAAAGGCAAGAGAAGATTGAGCAGACATGTACTCAGGAGGAAGCAATAATCTATGCTATCAGATGGAGCCTGAGGAGAGACAAACAGGAGGAATGGTCAGATTTCACATGTTTGCTGGATTCCCAAGCTATGGTGGATGTTATCAATAGAAAAACTGGATTTCAGGGGGTGGAGATCTCAGTTATGGAAGAAATATTTGATTTCATATCTGTGTGTAATGTTTCCTTTGCTTGTAATTTTTAAATGTTGTTGTTTTGAGGTTGGGTAGCCTTTGAGAGTGGGGATTAGTCTCACTCATGTTGCTTGTGTGTATGGTGTATGTTGAAGTAGTTCATGGTCATTTGACCATAAACTAATAAAAAGCTAATTGACCAAAAGACCGACACACACCTACAATTTCAATTCAATAAAATTTCATGACTTTGGCCAAATATTCATTCAAACTCAGGCCAATAAGGACAAGGCAGGTCTGTGGTCAGAACATTCAATTAAACAACACAGTAACGCCCCAGAGACAAAATATGAACAGCATAAGAAAAAAATTTCCAGAAATATGAAGAATTAATCATAGAGTTTCAGTTGACCTGCAAACTCTCTTATATTCATCATTCAATTTTCATTACCAAATGGACCACAAATAAAACCAAAATAAAAATGTTGGACCACATTTCAGATCAGTACACAACTAGATCTGTGATGTTTGAGCAATTGAGCCCTCACATATTTTAATGCCATTAGTGTGTGTCTGTGTGTGTTGCAGAAAAAATCCAGGAATACAAATATATACAGCCAACAAGGAAAATTACAGGCTGTTAAATTACGTCCCTTTGCTCTTTCCTTTTCAGCTCATTTAAAACCATGGCACATTGCCAAAGACTGGAAATAGCAATTTGCAAGAAATAATAGTGTGTGAGTGTTTTTCGAGACAACCTCGTGTGCAAACAGAACAGTTGTTTCTTGATTTTCTTAAGGTCTTATAACATTGTTCTAATTAACTACGAATATCTCTAAAGAAAAAAAAAATCCCAAATCACCATTAAATGGGGTAATGATTTGATGTATACATATCTCAAAGGATGATCGTAATATTTAGCACTTGGCAATTGAATCAAACGATTTTTTTTTTTCAAGCATGTTAGCTTTTGTCCATACTTTGTTAATTATTCATTAAATATTTGATTATTCATTATTCATTAATTATTATGGGAAGATAAGCCCATGATTAGTTACAATTTAAAACGATAGCAAAGATAAGCCCATGTCAGCAATATCTCCAATCTTCATGTACTTGATAGTAAAAATCAAAGTGCACAATAAGATGGTCTTTTTAATATTACACGTTGGGTACTAAAATACACTCAAACATAAAAATTAAAAACTAAAACCACAAACACCTCAACTAACAAACCCAATCCACAAGAACCAAATCCCGAAAATCCCAAAGCAGCCCCTGTACTCTTCCATTTCACATTTTGCCCCAACTTGGCCTTATTATTATCATCCAGACCAGCCTCAAATCTCATAATCCCCTCCTCCTCATCACATTGTTTGACCCCAAACGGCACATAACTCGATTTAATCAATCCCACGGGATAACACAGATTAGGATTATCCCACGCTCCAAAACGCCACCTCATCTTCCCATAAAACAGCCCTGGAAATTCAAGCTGACCTGTCAAGTTATTCCCATGGACATACATTGCACTAAGATTAGGCAAGCGCGCAAGATTCCGTGGAATATTCCCTGAGAGCTTGTTATCATTCAGGCCCAAGAATCTGAGCCCACTTAACTCAGCAATGGACCCAGGGATGGCCCCTGCCAGGCCCATATTGGCCAGGTCCAGGGCAACAAGGCCCTTCAACTTTGTCCAATCAAGGCCCATTAAGTCCCCACCAATGGGATTGTTTGAAAGGACTAATTCTTGTAATGATTTCATTTCTTCAAGTGATTGACTCAATCCACCTGAAATATTGTTGCTGCTCAGGTCCAACAGTGTTAACTCCTTCAAATTCGCAAAATCCGGTGGGATTTTGCCGGTCAACCGATTTTGACTCAAGTCGAGCTTCAGTAGTGAAGTCAACCCTCCAAAAGTCAACGGGAGAATCCCGGAGAGCGAATTTTGGCCGAAATCGAGAATCAAAAGGCGATTGAGCCGGCCGAGAGTGTCCGGGATTTTTCCGGAAAAATAATTCCTTGCAAGATTCAAGCGCCGCAAATTGACCAAATTACCCATGCTTTGGGGCAATTCGCCAGTTAGCTCGTTTTCTGTTAGCACCAAGGACTGAAGATTTGTGAGCTCCCCAAAATTGACCGGAATATTTCCGGTCAGGCCATTGTTTGACCGGAATTCGAGCGACTGTAAGGTCTCGGCTATGGATTCCCAGCCCTCGGCTGGGATTGAGACGGGATGCTGACGTGGCAGGACGAAGCAGTTGAAGAAGGAGAGGGATTTAAGGTGCCTTAGTGCAAATAAATGGGGGCTAAATTCGACATTTGGGGCGCATGCTAGGGAGTTGTCGTGAAAAGGGCCAATGTTTAATTCGGTCACGTACCAAAAGCCATCGAATAAGTCACACGAAACACCCTGAAAAATAGAATCAAACAAGAAAATATTTTTATTGGTAATATAACAGAATATGGAATTGAAGTCTGCTTCAGTTGCAAAAATCAGAGATGGCCAATTGGTAATAACAGAATATGCAATTGAAGTCTGCTTTCTTAGTAGCTTCATATTTTGTTTGCATTTTTACTCTTTCCAAACTGAGTTTTGGAGTTCATTAGAACTATAGAAGCTGGTTTTTCAAATAAGAATGCCAATTCGACAAGTGAACAGCATGAAAAGCTATGTGATGTGTTTATGGTGCTTACCCAAAGTATTGGACTGCATAAATCTACTAAGAAAGCAGATGACAGAAAAATAAAAATAAAAGGAAGCCACTTCCTTCACATTTTTTATCAGGAA